CGCGATACCGGTGCGATGCTCTACCAACTGAGCTATGAAGCCACACATTGGGAGCGAGGCCACTTAATTGAGTTTTTCAGGCTTCTTCTTTCCAATTGCTTAAATTGGAAAATTTACTGCGATGATCATTTTTCACTTCCATCTACAACCGCAGTTCATATATGAATTATTTCATATAAACTTCACATCATCTAGGCCCTGTGTAAATATAATCCACTTTTGCTTCAGCTTCTGTCTTAACAGAGCATGCGCAGGATCCGTTTCAATTTGTCCGCACGATTTCAGGAAAATGAAGTGTTCACAAATTTCCACCATACGGAGACAGTTTTGCAAAATCTTCAAGGACTATTTTTAATAGGAAGAGGCAAGAATTCAGACTACCATAGACAATGCAAATGCAAGGGTTTTATAACATGACATAGGTTTTTCGGCGTATAGCATACGCCTTCCATACCATTTATCGTTGTGTCTTCTAGGATTAACCAATTGGGTTTTTTACCTGCCATAAGCAGGGTGTATCGAATCCTTACTTCCCGAATTTCTTCGTTCATTTTGGTACTTCTAGCTCTTTCTAGCGAGATAAACAATGTCACCAGAAGTGGAAAATAACGTTTACTCGGTCGGCAAGAGGGCAAGTGGGGAAAAGCTATTCGTTCCTGTGAGCTTCACTTATCCAGCTGGACGAAGGCACCAACGCTGAAATAAATATCCTTGCTATAATTAAACTAACAGTCACCTCTAGGGTTGGGAGATTTGCCATCATTTTACACGGCTCTCTCTCAAATCCACTCCTTTGTGCCGGTTTTTGGTTTGCCTGTATTTCTGCTAAAAAGTGTATTAAGTGAATTATAACAGTCAGTGGCCCTTCAATTTACAGGTCATTGGAGACAAGAGAGGAGGAGGAACAACCATGGAGCTAACAGAGAAACCTGAGAAGTTTTCGATTCTTAAGGAACTTAACGAAACTCTAGGAATTCCCCTAAAATTTCTTCACGTCATTAGAAATCCTTACGACATAATCTCGACTTGGGTTCTGAGGCTCTTTAACGTAAGACTTCAAGTAAACGACGGGGAAACCAAGGTACTGAAAAACTTAGAAATAATTTAGTGGGAAACCCGAAAACAGCACACGAGGGTACGAGTAGCCGTTAATAACAAAAAAAAGGAAAAAAAATATTGAGCCCGGTAGGCATCGAATTCACAATCCCTCACTTGGCGGGCAATCACCTACTCTACTGCGCCATATCGACATCTGAAGAAATACGTTGAAACATATTTATTATATTGCTTTCTACAAATTATATACGCTTGGTTGTTAGAACAGCAGGCGCAAGAGTCGCGCGAAAGTCTTACGAGTCGATGGCTCATCGTTCGAGGAGGTGAATTGCTGTCTTTCTGGTCATGTTTCTCATTCGTGCTGATTCGTGGATCTGTTTGGATGTTTGACAATGGCGTCATTCGTCACTCAATGGAGCTGGAGTAGCGGGAGACTGTACAACACGATGTAACCTTAATTTCGAACGACTACGTTCGGACATACGCTATGAATGGACTCGCGTTATTTAATTAATGCAAAAACTCCATTCTCAGCCTTTCATAAATCATTATCCGAGTTCAGTGGCTCACAGCCACTCTGTGATTCGTCAATTGTTTAGACGGTCTGGAGAGTATTTTTTGTGTTTGTGTTTTGTTTTTTTTTTTAACTTGATTTTTTATAATTTATTTTCTGAGTTCAGTTGCTCACAGCCACTTTGATCACTTATGGATGTATATCTATTTATTTTTATCAATTTTCAGATAGACAAACCCGCAGCATTAGACAATGCCATAAAGTCCTTCTTTGAGCTTATCGAGACCAACGAAAGAATAAAACAGCTTTATGGCGATCAAGCAGTGTTGGACATTTTAAGCCATGAACTGATATTAAAACCGAGAGAAACAATGGAGACAATATGTTTATTTTTACGAGTCAAATGTAATGAGGATTACCTTCATCAAGCAGAAAACATCCTTTTTGGCAAACCATCGATAACAAGAACAACAGTGGTGTGGACTGAGGAACAAAAGCAAAGAGTTTACAATGAAATGAAGAAATACTCTTTCCTGCAATCGTTCAATTTTGATGAAACTTACTGATAACATCATGCACGGATATCGCAAACCAGTGAATTTTCCATGCAGTCTACTGTTCCATGGCCGAGGATTACTTGGACACGAAATATTCGAAAATATACACTAATTAATGCTGCGGTCATAATGATGATTTACGTTCTTTCAAAACACGGCCACATTACCTTACGTGGTTCACAAGTTGCGCTCTTGCTTATTTACTTTTTTGTAATAACGTCCAATTTTGGGACGGACGCTAAGCGTTATTTTCTTTAGTATAAAATCCTTTTGTTCTTAATAGCCTCTTAATTTGACTGAAGATCAATGTTATCTCAATGCGCAGTGGAGTAATAGTGACAACGGATTCTATAGAGGATGATACTGAGGGTATCCCAGGTGTGGGAAGGTCCTAGTTGCCTTGTTTTCATCACAAATGTGCTAATGTTCCCTGCCACCAAGTTGAAATTGACCCTGCTACCGTGGTCACCAACTAACCCTAACCCTAAACCCTCGATAAAACCGCAAAAAGCTCCAAACTTAAAATCTAACTTATCATTTTCCTAAAGATTTAAATGTTAAGAATGTTAAGAGTAACATTTTTAATAATAATAACATTAATAACAATTACGAATGTGCAAAGCCGTTGTGGCAATAATTTAACCCTCAGTGTTAAATTCCAAAAGTGACTACGACAAAAAGAAGTTAGTAAATCGAAATGAAACAGCGAAGCGCAAAAAAATTTAATTTTTCAGTCGGATTGATTGAGTCTATGACAATTCACTGTGCATCTGAAAACTGTCATTTCATTGGCAGAACCATATAAATCGACGTGACAGGGTAACGGACTGGTAGTGACCCATGAAAAGAAGTGAAATGGTTTATTGTCGCTCTTAAACAGGTCTACGGTTATGGTGTCAGCTGTACTCTAATAAGAAGACTCCTTTCATTATTTTAAGTGAACAAGGATCAATACTAGCAATCAGTAATTCTACAGACATTTAAGTCAGGAACGAGCTTTTACAAGGCAGGTTGTATTCAATACAATAGATACGCTTAAGTAACAATATACAATGAAATGGATATAAACTCGATCTGATATTGATGCATAAATTGGCTTTTTCACAATCTTTCCCATTGTTGATACTTTTCGTTGGCATTCCTGTGCGATTTGGTCAAAACGCATAGATATAATGTATCTATTCGACAAAAGTTTTAAACTACTAGTTTAATTCAGTGAGTAAAGCTGGAAACATCGTCAAAGGTAAAAGATTGAAGGAAAGAGTACTTTGCCCCCTCGGTTGTAATCAAATCTCTGTCTTCTTTCCTCCATGCAACAAGATTTCGACTTCTTGTGGAATGACCATTCAATAGCCTTTCAACTTTATTAAGGTAGCTATCATAACACGTGACGTCTAGAAATATGCAGATCTTCCTTAGCGTTTCCCTTGAGTTAAAAATAAGTTGGTCGCTAGAGATGTCCAAGACTGCATTGCCGTATAACTTTCTTATTCGTTCGTTGGTCTCTGCAACGGTAAAGAAGTTTTGTACGGCATTGCGAACTGCTCCGGTGTCGTTTATCTGAAAACGAAATAAGAATCAATATTCGTTAGTTGAAAATAGTCTTTGAAATCATCAAGAGAGATATGCATAGCAGCTACAAAGATCCAAAGGTCTTTTAACCCATGTTCAAAGGTAGAACAACTGATATTGTCCTTTACTCGCACGTAGAGATCCTCTGTGAAAGCTGCTATTCTCAGGCAAATGCTTCATATGGCTACCATGTCTGTTTGCGACCGATCAAACCAACAAGGCTGTCACATGCTAAGCATTGAGTCTGTACATTTTATTTCACCTATGAGGAAAACCACTATCTATACTTAACATAGATTATCACTCGTTTCTTCGTCCGCTCCAGAACCCAGGTATTACATTAACCTTTCATAACTTTTTGCCTTACCTTTTTCTGGGGGTCAAACGGGTGACTAATTACACTGGAAGCAATGACATCGTATGGATTTGAAATAACGTGAATAAACTTGACTGGAACACCAACTACATTCTGGATGTCTTCAAGTACTTTAAAGGTTCCTGGTTTTTCCATCAGTTTCTTAGATGTTTCCCATCCGCTTCCATCTCCGAAAACCTGTCAATCCACGTGAAATGCAACATTTCAGTTGCTTTTCAAAGAAGCAAGTAATTATGAAACAAACCTATTCATGGTCACATTATGTAGTTCTAAGATTAAGTAATCATTTACGATAGGCCACGTTCGATATATCCGATATTCTAACATGGCGCCGAGGCTTTCAAGATAAAATCGTAAAATTTTCAAGTTTCTTTTGTCCCTCAACTCCCAAAAGAGACTTGGATGGAAAGAAAACACCACCAAATATAGACGTTTGTCTTGAAAGCCTCGGAGCCGTCTTAGAATATTGATATATCGAACGTAAACTATTGGGGACGATGCCAGTTGTAATAACATATTCACGCTTAGGTAACATAACATACTAAAATGGCTATAACCTCGATCTGATTCTGAGGTATTAAATGGCTTTTTCCACAATATTCCCGCTCTTTTGTGGCGACTAGCTGACCTTTTTAAATAAACAAAACATCAGAAATAACCAAAACGTTTATGGTCAAGCAAAATGATTTTAACTTGGTTCTTAAAGAGTGCTACTAGGGTTAAAACGTTCGTCACAACACGTTGATTTTTGGTCGTGTTATTGTTGTTGTTGTTGTTCTTGTAGGTTAGTCATCAATCAATAAGGCAGCCAATTGTTCACTCATAGCAGTTGGTCAAAACTACCCCGTTCTGTGAAAATGGGAAATTCTTTCGTTGTTCCCTTCACGTTTTTTTTCCTCGTGGAGGTTTTTCAATAGTTGCTCAGTCTTGCAAACTCATCTCAGCTGGAAAAATCATGCATCAACCAAGTTTGGTTATCTAACTTGAAAAGTAAGTAAATCGAGTGGCAAAATTGCTTAACCTTTAATTTTCCACTGATTGTTCCCTGCCATGCATCAGGAACAAAGTTATAGTGTATACCATTGCCTTTAGAAGTCCATAACCAGAATTGGCTCGGTTTATTGGCTTTGTTTCTGAAGACTGCTTGAAAAGTAGAAAGATAATGCATATCGAAAAACAACATATGCTTTTGCTGGCCAGAGTCTTGCAGGATTTTGTGCTGGAACATTTTCCAGTTCCCAATAACATCGTATTCTTGAGGAATAAGAATTTCGGGATGTGCGTCCAATATTGCTCCTGTAAGACTTTCTATGGTATGGGGGTATCCAATGAACATGACGAACGTTTTGACGTCATCGTACATTCGGTATAGTCTTTTAAGGCTCTCTGGTACACGTTCAGGATTACAGGAGCTCGTGTGGACTGTAAAAATTAAATAATAAAGGAACAGATATCAAGCTAAATCAACTTTCAAAC